AAAAGACACAGTGAAAAATTTTGGGGAACAGAAAGATTATTCTTGGAATAGAAGTGGTGCCACTGACAAAACACTGTTTTATGTGACCAAACATACATGCTCTATGGTATTCACCATGACTATTATTTTGGTTGGCTAGAATAATATCACAAAGCTGGTATCCACTGATTGGCAGCAGTAGTCTGTTATCAGGAATTGCCCTGAAGGGCTGTTTGTTCATTATTTTCCCAAGAAAAACTGAATAAATTGTTATTTAAAGGTACAGACTAGATCTGGTACGGATTTGTATCAACATACTAAACAATGACACAACTAGTGGCTTTCTCCCACCTATCAAGCTTGGTTTTACTTATGCTTTACCTGAGCTTGACAGTTGGCTTGAACAATGTTCTTGTGGTTTGTTATCTTGATTAATACAGAAGAAGTCCAAATAATACCCTGGGAGAAAGGGTGGCTTAAGTAGACAGTGTTGTGCAATTGTGTGTTTGCTTGAAGAGGACATAAAACATGCATGGCAAATGGCATGATCTCAAGTATATTACGGGAAATGTTAGCGGTCAACAGGAGTTTTGCCTAATGACTTAAAGACCTGGCTTAGAATTTAGAGTAGCTAAGAGTAACCATTATTATTAATTAAGAACTAGTACTTAGCTCTGTCCTATAGTGCTGTAACTATCCATAAAGTTGAATGGATGAGACTGGGCCATATTCATTCCACATTTCTTTCCATATTGGCCCATTTTGTTTCTCAGTGTCATATGTGTTTTTGCTTTGTTTTGTTCATAGTTTCATAGTTAGTACGGTTGGAAGGGACCTGAGCAGATCATCAAGTCCGACCCCCTGCCATGGCAGGAAACAGTACTGGGGTCAAACAACACCAGCAAGGTGTACATCTAGCCTCCTCTTAAAGACCCCCAGGGTGGGAGCCAGCACCACTTCTCTTGGAAGTTGGTTCCAGATCCTAGCCGCCCTGACCGTGAAGTAGTGCCTCCTGATATCTAGCCTAAATCTACCCTCTGCCAGCTTGTGACC